GACTAACCTTTCAGTATTGAATGCATCAATGACTCCTTTTCTCCTTCACTAACTTTTGTTAAATTAACCAAAAAGCTTTGCACAGCAATTTTGCCCTAATACAGTGAATTTTCAGGTCTGCACTTACATGTTCTACAACGGGTATTTGTATAAGACCATATTGTTATTAACTCTTCTCCAACTGTTTGCAAATTATGTTTTTTACCAAAAGTAAGTCCATGGTATTTGTTTCAAGGTTGCTGTAAATGCTGTTTGCCGTTAAGCTCACTTTTACTTTCCATTATGAAGGAAGCTTTTTTTTTTGAGAGGAATTGATTTGCGAGTAACGTTTTTGCCTCGAGTACATATTGATGTGCCTCATCTGGAGCTCACCGGTATTGGTCTCATTTTTGACATTGCTTTTCGCGTCCAGACTCTCCTTTCATTGATGGCAAAGATACTTGAAAAAGTTCACAAGTAAGTATCCGTTTTCTGTCATTCTCCACGTGTGCAAACAGCACTGAGTTAATAAAACAGTTATTCTTCACTTGCGGTGAGACCAAAAATTTCTCGAAGAAAAGTTCTTACTACAGCGTCATCACTACTTCTCCCTAAACTTTGATTTCATAACCTGTAGCAAATCTGAATTTAGAATAGAGACAAAATTCATGAATTGCTTAACCTGACTTAATAAATTCAAAACTGTTATAATTTACAGGCATTTTAAGTACTGTATTGATTGAGCACCTGACTTCTTTGCAAGAGCTAAAATGTAAAATCTGGCTGATCAGCTGGAAAACTCAAAACTAGTACATTCTACTCTCAGTTTCATAACTAAGTCTCGTTTCGGCTACCTTACCATGAATACACCTGTGGCATATAATATGCAACCTTTCAAAAAAAGAGCCATCGGCAGCCTTGCCAGCGGATCGTTGCTGTTCGCGTTTGCTACTACTATGGCTACCTCCGGAGTGCCTTTAATTTTCACTGAGAGCGATAACAGGAAGAGAGGTTTAGCCATGAATATTATACCGCAAAGAGGAAAAACTTAAAAATGGTGAGAAGTGCTTTCCGAATACTTCCACGTAAATCTGACGTCGTTCTGAATATTCTCAAACAATGCCGGATTCGCACTGTTACTACAAGCAAAAAACTCTCCGCCTTTTTTTTGTGCCTAATCCGTCAACCGAGAACAGTGTAAAAAGTAATGTTTTATATATTTATAGTTTTGTGTTACTGCTTCGAGAGGCAGCCATTTAGAGGATTTCATCAGTCCAGGTCAGACTTATTTCTCGTTTTGCAGTTTGTTTATGTGGAAAAGTCCGAGAACCACTGCCGAGTTCTGTGCACTTATTGGATTCTTTTTTGCGCAATCACTTTTCTTTTCCACTTGCTCTTGTCTATCGTTCATCGGTAAGCATTAAATAAATTTGGCTCTTGCCGCTAAGATATTGTGCGGTTGCTTCATTCTCGCTAGCCTTGGACTGCTGCTCCTGCTGAAAGACTTAAATCAAGTGAAATTGTAGCCAGTGCCGTATTTAATTTTCACACCAACAAATGTTTCATCTGTGTCTGTTCCTTTTTTACGTTTCTAGATAAGTCAAGCTAAATGGTTCTTGTAGCTAGTATCTGAGCGGATAAAAGACAGAAACATGGAGATCCGAGCATTTCTGCGGTGTATCAGAAGCTATGCTG